TGCCCAGGGTGTGAAACTGCTTACACCTCTGACCCCAACGCTGCAGCCTCCCCTCGCGTTTCTGCCTTCCCACGGCCTGGCTCCTCTCCCTCCAGCCTGCCCCCAGCACCTGACGCCAGTGGTTGGCCCCGCCCTGCCACAGTGCTGACCACATTACCACGCCTGCAACCACCTCTCTGGGAGACCCTGCTCCAAGGCTGGGAGGCCCCACCCGGCCCCTCCTGGCCCACAGAGCCCGGGCCAGGCCCGGCTCCTCCGCTTCCCAGCTCTGTGGCTCCAGGCAAGTTACTGGGCCTCTCCAATATGCCACCACCTCCTCCTCAGGAAGATGAGGTTGACCCCGCCTCCCCGGGCAGCTGAGGCCGAGGGTCACCATGCTAACTAACGGCCATGAGTGTGCTCTAGACACTGCTATGCTCTGGGCCCCAGTCGGCAGGCCCCACCCGGCCTCATGATGCTGCAATTCTTTATCCTCAGTCTGCCTAAATGAGGGCACCTGTCCTCTGTCCTCTCCTGAAAGCTTTGCCCTTGGATCTTGGCCTACCACAGTGGCTCCCCATTGACTGATATCCCCATTCCCCTGATGAACCCTCCGCTCCTTCGGAGAACTCACAGCCCTTCTCTCGCTCCTCAAAGCTGATGCCCCTGCCCCATCCCAGCCCTCACCCCTCCGTAGCTCCCACTCCACCTCCTGAGGCCTTTCTCAGCATTTTCACTTGAGGTCCCACTGACTCTTGCAAGCGTCTTCCCCCACCCACACCAGCACCCTCCCAGGTACCCCAGCTCAGTGCTTGGCCCTTGGTGCTGTCTTTTAGTCACAGGGTTTTACACATTCTTCCTTCGTGAACATTCTGTATTCCTCTGTCTGACTCCTCAGGCATTTAATGAGCACCAGCTGCAGCCCGGCTCCATGGCAGGTGCCGAGGTTCCGAGGTAAGAGGCCATCTCAGGTCCCTGTCCTCCGGGAGCTCACAGGCTTGTCGCCGAGATACAAGGATACTCACCTTTCAGTGTGGTAAGTGCTATCCCAGGGTGAATGCTATCTTGCTGTCCCAGGCTGAAGCCCGAAGCCTCCACAGCAAGACAAGGGTGTGCCACTGGCTGCTGGGGCCTTGTCTGGGGTGTGCCCACTGCTCAGCCTGAGACAGCTTCTAGGGGGACTGTAATGGCAAAGCTAGACCTTGCAGGCTGGAGTATCAAACGGCAAAATCAAATCACCCAATACTTATCCCAAAGCCCGCAGGCATCCCTCTGGCCCCCACCTGTCATTATCCATCGTCTGATTCCAATCTAACCGGCCAGACTCGACACCTGGGTGCACCAGCCACTTCAAGGCACCTCCTTGGAGCTGGGAGGGAGGCTATGCAGCTGGGCTCCTGCTGCTTTTTCTGTGCTCTTCCCCACAAGCCTGCTGAGGAAAAGTCACGTTCTGGGCCGATGCCACCTAGAGTGGGTCTCTGGACCAGTGGCATCAGCGTCGACCTGGTGCAGGTTAAAAATGCAAAATCTGAGGCCTCACCCCAGACCTATGGAATTTAATCATCTCAGAGGCACATTGAAGTGGGAGAGGCTCTGCTCCGCACCCCGAACCAACTCCCCCAGGCCTTCGCTTCCCCCTCGTCCGCTCCCTCTCCTGACCTTCCCCTCCCAACCACCGCCGCCTCCACCTGCCTGGGGCAGCATGCACAGCACAGCTCTCTCTGTCTCAGGGGCCCCGGGCTTCCCCTGTGGACACGTGCACACGATGGTCCTCCTGTCAAGCTTACAGAGGGCGGCAGATGGCAGGCAGGTATACTTGGCTCCTTCTTGCTGTCCCTGGCTGAAGTCCGAAACCTCCACAGCAAAACCTCACTACGAGCCACAAGAGGGGCCTTATGTGGCCCTCGGCAAAGTCCAGCTGCCAGGAACCCTTTCCTTCCTCTCCTATGATTGGAAGCACCTTCCCCGGGGAGGCAGGGCACGGGTTCCCCTGCAAACCAGTGCTCCACACCAAATCGCTCCCACACTCATCTCCCAGAGGAAGTCCAGAGACTCACCCTCCCCTTCAGCCAGTGGCCAGTGGCGGCCCAGCTGTGCTCTGGGGGATGGCACAGAATAGCAGACACCTCTGCCCTGGAGAAGCTCACAAGAAGGAGCCCTGGCTCTGAGTACGGACCCCTTTGAAAGGAAACCATTCTCACGATCGCCTCACCCCCATACATCTGTGCACTGGGACCTATGTGGAAATTGCAAAGACGTCGAAGCCTTTCTTAGCCTTGGAAAAATGTGTTAGTAGCAAATAATCACTGCAACAGTGAATCTGCCTTTATGATTGAAAATTTCAAGACACATAAAAGAAGTTAGCATTATAACACAAACATTTGTAAATTCTTGGGTTATCTATAGACTGAAAATATGTTGGTAGAACTTTACTTGTGAAACCCAGATCTAAAGACTGGCTAAGCAACATGTGGGCTGTGGACCAGAGTTTCAACGTCACTGGGTACTGGTTAGGCCCCTGGAATCAGAGCCTGCATTTTCACACCAAACTAGGGAAGCCCTGGCGGAGACTACACGGTGTGTGCAGTTTGGGTGGAGATGGAGGAAAACAAGGCCCACTGGAGCCAGGTTACATGAAATCGGCAGAGAATGAAGTGATCTTATGTATTTTTGTAGGGGACACTATCTGGTAGCACAGTGAAGGAGGAAGAGGTGCGAGAGGCTTGTTGCGAACATGAAGCAAAGGCGGAAATGGATGGGAGAAGCTTAGGAACTAAGCCAGTTTGAGGCAGAGTGGGAAGGAGGGCAGGCTAGAGGAGGGACTTCCCAGGCACATCTGTCCTGTGCAGCTGTGGGCGCAAGTGAAGTGTGGCCCTGGGTTTCACAGTGAAGACTTATGGAGAGGCTGTTTTTAAGGAAGAAGGTGCTGAGCTGTTTGGGATGTGCAGAGGGGGCTGGGGAGGTGTTCGGGTGTGGTATACACAGGACCGGAACTGCCCAGAGGTGACCAGGCTAGAGAGACAGGTCCGTGAGCCCCTGACGAGGAGATCAGGGGAATTCGCCCAGGAAAGCCTGCAGGACAGTGAGAGCAGAGGATAAAGGGAATGGACAGCAGAGGACGAGCCAGGTGGGCGGGGAAGCAGGAGGAAGGCTGCGTCACAGAGGCCCTGGCATGAGCAAGGGGCCACCAGCCTTGGTCTTGCCAAGTGAGCGGTCCCTGGCCCTCGCCGCGAGGCGATGCTGACCACGGGGCACGTGGGGAAGCCTGGGGATGGCAGGCTGGCGGCTGCAGAGGCGGACGAGGCCGAGGCTGCTACACAAACACCTAAACGTCCCACCTGACGTTGCAGGTCCCCTTTAATCAAAATTGTCCTTCTGGCCCTGGCTGGGGTGGCTCAATGAATTGAGCGCTGCCTTGCAAACCAAAAGGTCACCAGTTCGATTCGCAGGCAGGGCACATGCCTGAGTTGCAGGCCTGGTCCCTGTTTGGGTGGCGTGTGAGAGGCAACCAATGGATCAATGTCTCTCTTCCTCTCTTTCTTTCCCTTCCCCTCTTTCTAAAAATATTTTTTTTAATTGTCTTTCTGTACACCCACGTTCACGGCAGCACTATTTGTAATAGCCAAAAGGCAAAGGCAACCCAAGTATCCATAGGCACATAAATAAGTAAAATGTGGTATATACATTCAAGAGAATATTATTCAGCCTTAAAAAGGAAGGAAATGCTGGCTCATGCTACAGCACAGATGAACGTGAAGGACATATCGTGCTAAGTGAAATATGACAGTCACAACAAGACAAATCCTGTGTGATTCTACTTACATGAGGTACCTACAGTAGTCAAATTCAGAGACAGAAAGTAGAAGGGTGGCTGCCAGAGACTCGGGGGAGAGGCGAATGGGGAGCGTTAGTGTCTCATGGGTACAGGGTTTCAGTTTTGCAAGATAAAAACAGGTCAGCAGCTAATGGGGATGCAGCACTGCGCTTGACTGTGCTTAATGCCATTGAACTGTACATTCAAAAATGGTTGAGAGTAAATTTTACATTATGTGTGTGTTGCCACAATTTTTAAAAATTATGTCTTTCATTATAACCATAGAACATTTAAATACCTGGAACTGGACAGTATGTCTGTGTCAAGAGAGGTAAGAGCAAATCTTTTTCAGCGACTGTAGACTAGTTCTCAGCAGGCTTGGCAGTGAAAGGGGAGGAAGTAGGCTTGGAGAAGTGGTTTCTTTTTGGTTCCTCTAGTGAAGGGACAACCATCTTTAACAGTAAGTGGAGAGGTCAGCTTGAGCCAGAGACACTCATTTTCTCAGACAGGAGGAAAGGAAGAAGAAGAGCCAGAAAATGGAGAAGGAGGGGTGAAGGGGAGGAGGCTCCCGCCAGCCGGGCTTGAGCATCTCGGGGCCGCAGGTGGTATGGTCACCTGGAGAGGCGAGGACAAGAGACAGGAGATCTGGAAAGAGCGAAATGGTTAGGTGGGTGGGGGGGTAACAAGGGAGGACGGAGTGTAGGGAGGGCCCGGTGGGCTGCAAAGCACAACACGCTGCCCGAACCTGTCACTGGTCTCGGAGCAGCGGTCCTCGAAGCACGGCCCTGGGCTCCAGACCAGCAGCGTCCCCCAGGAGCCTGATAGAAATGCCCGTTTTCAGGTCTGAATCGGACACTCTGGGGGTGGGGCCTAGCAACCTGTGTTTTAACCGGGTGATTCTGATGTGCCAGAGTTTGAGAAACACTCGTATAGGACATAGAAATCCAACAGAAAGGACATATCACCTTCTTTATGTGAAAAAACAATCAACCTAGCAGCTTCTACATAAAAGAGCACGAAGTTCCAGACTGCTACAATGCCAATGCAGTCTATTTCTACAGTCAGAGAAAAGCCAAAGCATGTTATTAATGAAATTATAGAAATATATAATCTAATAAACTTCCTTAAATGAGATCTAGAAAAAACACACGAGGTCTCGCAGCTTGACACTGGACAACGTGGGTACCAGTTCCTGCTCTGGGATTACCTGTGTGCCCTGGAGTGTGCCACAGCCTTTTCAGGGCCTCAGTTTCCCCACCTGTAAAAAGACAGAGCTGGAAAAAGTTCGGAGGTCGCTTCCAGTTCTGACGCTGTGTGATTCTGTCTGTCCTGTAAAAACTGACCTCAAACTAAAATCTTTTACATAGCTGAGCCTGACGGTGGAAAAGAACATTTTTAACCAGTGAAACAGAATATAACAGTTAACTAGAAAACCTTTCCAATGTTCAGGATGTGGTAGTATCTTGCGTTCTAAGAACTGGAACTCTCCTTTGCTAACTGGCTTTTCCATTAAAGCCACTGATGCGTAGAGTTATAAAAATACTGGACTGCGCTGGACTGTGTTTGTAAGTCCACATGACTGGGCTGCCCTAGAAAAATATACCTTCGCATTTTAATCCTACAATAGTTTTTAACCCAGGAAGTCAGGGTTTGTATTTTCTGCCAGGCAGAGAACGGGTTAAAGTAGCAGACGACAGGACCCTGGTGCTTGTCACTTCCAACCAGAGAGTCTGGGCATTCAACACCGCAAATCTAGGCTTCCTGATAAATGGCTCCTTATTGACCTTGTTACCGGGATTCCTAGAGTCTGGTTTTCTGCCTGGTTTCTCTGTATCCAAGTCCCTGTCTGCACCTACTGTGCTCATCTAATGCTCATCCTCTTGTGCCTGGGTCCCAAATAACACCTGCTTCCCTGCCTCTGCCAACGGCCAGTGACTTGTTTCTGATCTCAGAACGAGGGCTGGGGGAGGGCCGTGGGTGCTTGTGCAGGAAGGGCAGGGTGCAAGGGTGAGCAGGAGGAGGAACGGAAGATAAGGTCTGGGGAGACTCTGCTCTCCCGCCCCACCTCACTCTGACACCCTGGCTCTTACGTTCTATTCTTGGAACTTTTCTATGTCTGAATGAGGATTTGGTCAGCGAGCAGCTCAGCTGGCTTGCTTGTCCCCTTTGTGCATCTGTCACAGACCCTGTCCTTCCTTCTCCATCCAGCCTAGATACACAAGTGACATCTCAGGCTCTCGCAGTCCCGGGGTAGGAAGGAGCAGGTGAGGGGAGAGCTGAAAGGCTGGGGTACCAGGAGCAAAGCGCGCCAAGGGAGGTGCGACCGCAGAGGGGCCCGGCAGGCAGCGCCAAGGAGATGAGTTTTGTCTCTATCCAGGTAGAGAACTCATAGCGCTACAGGGTTTTCCAGGCGGATTCCCCTGCCCTGACTTCCAATGTCAGAGACGCGCAGGGTGGGATGACCACACACCCTCGTTTGCCTAGGGCAGTCGCAGTCAAGGCCAGCGGGTTAGATGCAATTATGAAGAGCTGCCCCTTTTCGTCTCGAAATGTTCGGGTTCGGAGAGGGAATCCTAGCCATCCCATTCTTGGGCCCTTGGGCCCGCAACGTTAGAGGTGCAGTCAGAGAAGGCTGCTTAGCCCTGAGAGGGACACCCAGGCGGGGCCTCGCCCCCCCTCACAGGTTCCATTCTCCCCTCCGGCCTCCCCGCCAAGCCGTCACCCAGCGTCTGCCTGGAGACCTGCAGGGGCAGCAGGCTCACTATCCCCTGAGGAAGTCTCTCTTTTTTCGGAAAAGCTATGTTATAAAAACAGCAGGACTCAAATCTATGTACAGTATGACTGCCACTAAATAACAACATCCTTCAGCAAGGAAAAGAATGGGAATGGGGGAAACTAGAAAACCTGCTGGCTTTTTGCCTTCCAGCTCCTTCCATCTTATGCTCTTTGCATCCAACAAATACTGAGTGCATTTGCTGTGTCAGTGGCACTGGGGATACAATGGTGAGTTAAAACAAATAGGCACCAATTGAGGGGCACGCTATAAAATAACTGGCCTGCATTCTCCAAAAATGTCAAGGTCACAAAGGACAAAGAAAGGCTGAGGAACTGTTCCAGTTTAAAGGAGACTAAAGAGACATTACAACCATATGCAACCCGTATCTGGGCTTTTCTTTGCTACAAAGGATACTATGAAGACAGCTGGCAAAACTAAACAAGGTCTATAGATAGTATTGTGTCAACACTGATTTCTTGATTCTAAATATTGTATTATAGCTATATGGGAGAATGTCATCGTTTTTAGGAAATGCACTCAAGTGTTTGGGGGGCGGGGGAGGAAGAGTCTATTCCTAACCCTTAAATGGCTCAGGTAAAATACATAGAGAGATGGCTAAGATAAATGTGATTAAATGGTACCATTTGGGGCATGAAGGATGAAGGGTATATGGGAGTTCTTGTTCTATTCTTGGAACTTTTCTATGTCTGAATTAGGTCAAAGTAAAAAAATTAAAAGAAAACAGTAAGTCTCAGAGACTTTTTTTTTTTTAAAGAAAGACAGACTTCACAGAGTTCACAGTGTAGCTGGGGAAGACAGGTACGAATACAAATAATGACACTAATTAACTGCAAAATTGCAACTGTGAAAAGCTCTTCAAAAAAGAGGCAGAGCTGGTGGAGACAGAGCTGGTGGCGCGAGCGTTTACAGCAGGATCAGGAAGGTGAGGGAAGGTATCTGCAGCCATGGAGCGAAGCCCCAAAGCCCGAGTTAACTGGGAAGCGGGGAAGAAGGTTCTGTGCTCTCATGGCCTGATTTTAACTTTGCTCCCTGATATTTTAATTTCAATTTTCTACAACACCCCATGTATAAGTTTGATCACAAGATAGGCAGGGGAAGGGGGCAGGGGGGACACAGCGGGCAAGACCTGGGTTCAGGCTGTCGTTGTCCTCTCTCCAGGCTCACCAGTGGTTAGGGTCAAGGCACGGATGCCAGAGCTGGTTGCTGCCCCTCTCACTAAGAACCTCGGGTCTACACTGAGGTTGACTCACCTGAACAAAGCGGGGTACAGGGCCCGGTCTTCACACCCCGCTCCCAAAGTCAGACCAAGGCCTTCCACCCACACAGCACTGACCTGGCCCTGGCCCCTTTCTGGTCCTGGATCCTGCCCCCTTGGAACATGGCTTTAGTGCTAAGAGCTCGGACCTGCAGCCCTGCCCTGGGACTGGGCCATGACTCGCCCACAGGGACTCTCAGCACTGAGCTCCAAACAAAGTGCTTGCCTGTGGGGCCAGGGGCCTGACCACAGAGGGAGCAGAAGCTTTTCTGCGTCACATTCTGCCTTAGTAGGTTTTTGGTCATTAGCTTATTTAAAATGGACAATTTAAAAGACACAGATCCTGCCCTGGCTGGTGTCGCTCAGTGGATTGAGCGCCCGCCTGTGAACCAAAAGGTCGCCGGACTGATTCCCAGTCAGGGCACAGGCCTGGGTTGCCGGCCAGGTAGCTAGTCGGGGGCGCGCAAGAAACAACCAACTGATGTTTCTCTCCCTCTCTTTCTCCCTCCCTTCCCCTCTCTCTGAAAATACAATCTTCTTTTTTTTTTTTTAAAGACAGGTTCTATTATTAGTTTCATTTTATAGCTAAGTGACTTGTCTGGGGACAAGACTTGAGTTCAAATCTTCGCTGTCCTACTTATGAGCAATGTGTCCTTCGCGTAGTGACTTCCTCTCTCTGAGCCTCTGTCTTCTCACCCCATCTGTAAACTGAGGCTTGTAGGAATTTGCAAAACTCTGGGACTAGAAGGTACTGTTTATTCCCTCTGAAGGCTCCAATAGGCTCCAGTACAGAAAATTCACTCCAAACAACACACTGCTGAAATGTTTACTAAAAGTGTGTGTATCCTGACAGTAAATCATAGGACCTGAATTTTCCAGGACTATCCCAATTGCAAATCCTCTCTCCCAACTTTCCACATAAACCATCAAAATGTCTCAAAAATTCCACTCTCTCAGTATCCAAACAACACCTCCCAGGCCTCCTCTTTCACAAAAACGCAGCACAAACATTCTTTTTCAGACTACAGTTCCCAATCTCTGGTACAAAAAAATGCAGTCAGGGAGCCCTGCGGGCCCCCTGAAGGAAGTGGGGTCGGGGTAAAAATCTGCGGCAGTCAGCACCCGGCCAGAACTCTCAGACTTGGCCGTTCTGTGGCACCACAGTGTGATGCAAGCCAGGAGAAGGCAGAGCACAATCAGAGCATCACCCACCGCGCGGCACACACTGGGGAGATGAGCTCTGCCCCCACCGACCTGCCCACCAAGCGGCCGCTACCCGTGGAGGCAGCACGGTCCAAGGGTTGCTATGCAGATTAAATGAATGAGTTAATATTTGGAAAGCACTCAGGAATATAGTGCCTGGAAGCCAGCAAGTGCTTTATCAGTGCTGAATAACTGAAACCAGAGGCATCCTGGGCAGAAGGTGCTCATACCTCGAAGGCAAAGTGTTGCTCCTATCCGAGGAAAAGAAGAACAGGCACCTACCCCTGGGTTGAGTGAGGCCAGGCCCCTTGTGCAGAGGGGAGTGTACCTAACTCCAGGAGGCAGGTCCTGCATTAACCAAGCTCAGACGACTGGACCTGGGGAAGAGTCAGCACTCCTGAAATACACAAGGTCTCTTCATGCCTCTGAGCCTTTGCACCCGCTATCCTGTCTGCCCTCTGAATACCACGTTTTTCTACCTTCAAGGCTGAAATCAAATGCCAGCTACTCCCCCATGATGTTCCCTGACGCTCATCAGACCACTGGTTTCTCTGCATCTGGCTTTATCCTCTTTTAAAGAAGTTATCAGATAGATAGATAGATGAGGTCACATACACACGTCAGTCTTCTCGGCTCTGCCATGAATCCTTCCAGGACAGGGGTTCAAATTTCATCTCTAACCCAAATGCCTGACATATAGTATAGGCTCAATAAATGTCTGAATTTGCTGTTAAATCTGTGCTCACAGCTGGTCTTCACTGAAGGCTCAACCAGAAGCTACGTGATGCAAGATCACTCGGTTTGGAACCCATGACCAGATCAGATTTCAGCCAGGCGCCTACCAAGCACTCCCTTTAGTTCCCCCTCAGGCAGATGAAAGGAGATACCTGTGAGAATAGAGGCTGCAGTTGCCGGGACCCAGACAAGAGCAGCGTGGACGCTGACCAGGTCCTGTGCTGTCTCTATTAGAGTTGGTAAGCAGAGCGGAGGCTTGGGAAGAACACCAGCAGGCTGCCCTGCCCCCACCAGCCTGTCAACACCAGGGCAAGTGTGAGTGCCTCAGGCATTCCAGCCCCTGCAACAGACCCTGAGAAGAGGTGAAGAGGGACTGGCCCTGCTGTCCAGGAACCACCGTCTGGTGGAAGCAAGGTGAGCACTGGGATTATGGTCAATAGGCAACCTTCCAGGTAGAGACGGAGGGACAGCAAATTGCTGGTCCCCTCCCAACTTGCCACAAACACTGAGGGTCTTCCTGTTCCCTCCAGTCCCCCCAAATGAGCCCCTCTTGTGGGCTGTCCATCTTAGAAAATGAGATCCCTCCTGGGCCTGGACCTGAGGTTCAAAAGGTCAAAATTTGTCCCTCTTGCTCCTGGACAAAATTTGTACCTTTACAAGCACAGTTTCCTTATCTGCAAAATGGGGAGAGGGAGGACACTGAAATTAAACAACATATGTCAAATCTCCCAGTTCATAGTCAACAATCAATTCGCTGAAACCAGACAGGAGTGGCAATGCAGTGTGGGACCCCGAATTTGGTTCTCTCTCCTGCCCCAAGCTGTCCTTGTGGGCCTGTGTGTCTGGCCTGGCCAGGACCTACCCTCCCAGTACAAAGAAGTCTCCCCTTGCTCCCTGCATCTGCTGGGGTCTGTTGGCCAACTCTGCATCCGCCCGCCCCAGCACTGCATCTGCCATATAGAAGCAGCTTAATTAATAAATGCTGGTTGAACGGAATGCTTCAAGCACTCAGAAATGCCTTCAGTAACCTGACCTTTTACATTCCCCAGCTAATGTCTAATTTGCATATAGGAATCCGTTTTAGGAGATGGCAAATCACCAGAGACAACTCAGGATCAATACAGAGTATTAGGCACGTTTTATTCTACTCTATTTCACTGCAAATTGGTATTCCATTAACTGTACGTGGGATTTATGGGAGCGCACTATAAACTAGAATATTTAACTAGAACGACCTACTCTGTCAGATAATAGCCTACCATTGTTAATGTTCAACTAGTCAATCGCAGAAAGGTTTCCAGCTTCTAAACTATATCTTGATTTAATCATCAGGAAAGTCATCTATTTAAAAGTCTCCATACAATACAGGGCTGCTTGATACAGAACAAAAAGACCTGCCTATGGAACCAAAAGACCTGAGTTATAACCCAACTACACCACGTAATGTGTAATCAGCTGCTCAAAGCCTCAATTTCCCCATCTGTAAAATGGGAATAACACCAGCCTCAAGGGGGAGTTGTAAAAATTAAATGAGTTGATGCATGTGGATGTACTCTGTGCAGTTCTACAAGGCTACATACAAAGGTTATTATTAGAGTAAACATGGAAGATGAAATTCTCAAAGTCTGATAAGCTAATAACAGAAAGCAGGAGTGGATCTACAAGGCGAGACAGGATATTTGGCCCTCAGGGGACATCTGGCCATGTCTGGAGGTATTTTTGGTTGGCACAAATGACAGAGAGCGATTGCTACTGAAATCTAGTGGCTAGAGACTGGGGATGCTGCTCAATATCCTACAATGCATAGGACAGGCTCCGCAACAAAAAATTTACAAACCCGAGCCACAAGGTTAAGAAGCCCTGATCTAGGCCCTGGCCAGGTAGCTCAGTTGTTAGAGCACCACCCCGTACACCAAGGTTGTGGGTTTGATCCCTGGTCAGGGCACAACAAGGATCAACCAATGAATGCATAAATAAGTGGAACAACAAATTAATGTTTCTTTCTCTCTCTCAAAATCAATCAATAAAATTTTTTTTAAAAAGAAACCCTTATCTAAATAATCACTAAAAGTTGGGTTTAGAAGCTTTTTAGAATGGAAATCTTCCTAACTAGGCTTTATTTTCAAGCATCATCTGCTTAAACATTTGCAGGATGGATCATCTCGCAAAACAGCTCTTTGGTAAGTACAGCTGAACTGCCAACTTCTGGAGTCTCTGAATGTATAAAACTGCTTTTAAAAAAGATGCTCTCCGATTACAATTCAGCTAAATTCTTTTTCCAAAGCCCTTGACTTCAGTAGAAGTTCTCCAAGGCACAAAGACAGGGACTGTCATTGTCGCTAGGCCCTTAAGATGCTTTCGTAATTCTAATTTCCTGGTGAAATGGGAGCCACGAGGGTCTCTAAACGAATTAAATTCACATCACGCCAACTGCTTGCTTGCTCTGTGCCGGGCACAGTGCCAAACACCTCCACATAATTTATCCCACTTAATCCACCCAACAACCCAAAGAGGTGCGCATTATTACCGGCTGTTTGCAGGGGAGAAAACTGAGGATCAGAGAGGTTAAACTCCTCGCTCAAGGTCACCAGCTGGCCAAGGGTGAGGGGGACCAACTTGACCGGAGGTCTCCAGTTTCCGAGTCACAAGTTCTTTCCACCACCTCGGACAACCCAGGTGTCAAGTTGTCTCAACTTCCCATGAATTTTTAAGGCAACCACAACTTCTCAGTAAGTTTAGGCTGCTGAAAATAGGAATTTTCAGGGGCCTGGGCGATCACACACACTCTCCCACTGCAGCTGTCTCCTCGCAGGTACCTGATAAACCATTCCATATTGCCCGCGGAACAGGATAGATTTATTGGCGCTGGAGTTCGTGCCAGGCCCAGGAAATGCCATCTTTGAAAGCCGAGAGGCGAATTCGCTGTGGGAGCTAAGAAGGTCTGGCTGCCGGGCTTGGCTTCCTTCACCATGAGCTATGCCCTCCTCGGCGTCCGGGGCCAGGGTCTCGGTGCTCCCGGGCCCTCCGGCACCGCCGGCCGCACGGGTTCCGCCAGTCGAGTCCGCCCAAGCCCGGGTCAGAGCGCACGCCCACGCCCCGCCGCGGCCGTGTCCTGGCGCCCGCCTGAGAGCGAGCCCCACCCGGCCCGGCCCGGCCTGTCCCTCCCGCCCAGCCCCGCCAGGTGAGCGCAGCGGGGGCGCCCCCTCCTCTCCCCGACGTGGCGCCGAGACCCCAGGGCTGCCGCGTCCGCCAGCCCGCCCGCGCGTTCGCCGCGCGCCTGGGAACGGGTGGAGGCGGGGCGAGGCGAGCGCGACCCCGGCCCCTGGTCCGCCCGCGCCCTGCTCCGGGCCCGCTGGGGTCGCGCCGGGCCGTACCTGCAGCATCCGGGGGCGCGGAGCGCCCAGGTAGGTCGCGCTTGCGGGCGGCGCGGAAGCTCGCTCGCTCACGGCGCGACCTGGACGCCGTCTGAGCATGCCCAGTGCCGCCCGCGGGCGGCTCCCGCCGGCCCGGCTGGCCGCGACGGGCCCGCGCGCGGGGCGGGGGGCGGGCGCCCGGGTTGCCCTGCAGGGCTTCCCCGCCCGGAGCTGTCTTCACCGGGACGCTCCTCCCAGAGCCACTGGCGCTCCTCTGTAGGGCTCTGTGCAGCCCTGAGTCCCCTCGCGCGTGCACGCACATATTCGTCCCATAACCATTTATTGGACACCTACTATGTACCCGGCCCTCAATGATTTCATACCTAGGAACGTCAAGCAGTCGGCTTAACAAATCTGCGAAATAAGGAGGAGTCTTTGCCCCGAGGGCCCTGCTGACTCCCAGTCCAGTGCTCATGCTTTCCATTAGTAAGCTTCCGGGCTTAAACCTTCTTCCCAAGATTTATGGCCCCCCTACCTCATCTCTTCTACATCAGCTCACACTTGCCTTACTGCAGCCCCACGAGCATCTTTCTGTCCAACAAACGCTCAGAATTTGACCAGTCTCCACACGCCTTTCCCTCCTTGTGGGACGACTTTGCTCAGCTTTTTAAGTGGCTGCCACCTTCTCATTGTACAAATGAGCTCTTGGGAGAGGACTTCCCTGACCATTTTACTAACCTAGCTCCCTTCTCCTGCTCTACTCTCCATGTGCTCGCATTATTTTTTCACATTTATCACTATTTGTCCATTAATTCATTCAACAAATAATTATTGATCAGCTACTCCGGTTCTTCATGCGTGGTGACGAAATAGACAAAAATCCTGTCCCCTGGTGGAGTTTGGGGGTAGAGACAGGCGACAGACAATAACATACAAGTAAGCAGCTCTATCATGTGTTGGAAGGTGATAAGTTCTACGAGGGAAATAGAACAGGGTAAGGAGAATTGGGGTGGAGGGAGTGCAATTTTCATAAGGCGGTCAGATCTGGTAACATCGGGAAGGTGACATTTCAACCACGCAGATAAATTGGAAAGAGCATTTCCTGCAGAGGAGACAGCCAGTGCATAGGCTCTAAGGCGCAGGGCTGATTAAGCAATGTCAAGGAGCGCAGAAGAGCAGGAGATGAGGTCGATACTGACTTCCCCTAATTTGCTTACTTCTTATTGTATATTTTTCGCCTCCGGAATTTCAGCTCTGCGACTGCAGTGTTACCTGTCTTGGCTGCAGTGTCCCAGACACGACAACAGCGCCTGGCACACAGTAGGTGCTCAAAAACTATTTGTTGTATGAATATGTGAATGAAAAGATGTGGAGATGGCTGGAAATATCTTGTTTGGACTCGATGTCGGAGGTCCACGGGCCTGGTAGGCCTAAGGCCGTAAGACGGGCACCTGCAGCACCTGGTACCCCACTTCGATCTTTGTCCCCGCGTTGCTTGTCCGGGATAGTGCCCCTGCAGCGGGCGCCGCCGGAGAGTGGTGTCCGGGGAATTCCGGCTGAGCCAGGGAGACCCAGGAAGAGGACCCGCCCCGCGCCCCGCCCCGCACCAACCTCCGGTCGTCTGAAAAACCTGGAGCTGTGGCGCCCGGCCGGCACCGTGGGGGCGGACGGGGAGCGCACTGGGCATGCTCTAAGCTGGGCTGGGTCGGAGCGTCCTCCAGGAGGAGCCACCTAGCCTGGCAGGTGACCGCCGCAGTGGAACCCCCGGACCCTCAGCCCCTCTCTGCTCCTACCTATTTTTAGGCGAGGGGTGGTGGTGGCTGGGGGCATTTTTTTTTTTCTTTTTATCAAAGCTCAGTGAAAAAACTGGGAATTCAGAGTCTGCGAAAGGCATTCTCTGTCCTCTCCCAACTGCTGTGTGATCTGGGTCATGCACCTTGACCTCTCTGTGCCTCAAATAATACGAATACCTACCTCTTGGATCTGGCCTGTGTGTTGGGGATTGAATGAAATCAAGAACGGGAACATGTTCCACTCCTGCATATTCACAGGAGTGAATTTCATTCAATCCCCCGCCAACCCGAACGGATGGGTGAAACAACAAATCGATGTTTCTCTTCCTCTCTCTCTCTCAAAATCAATCAATCAATCAATCAATCAATAAAAAGAACGTGAACATGTTTAGTCTACTTTACAGATCCGTTTCTTGAGTGCCTACCTCAGTTATCCCTCATCCTCATACCAGCTGGTCAAAGTGCTGAGCTGAGGAAAAACTGCAGTTAGTGGACACAGGTTTCTTGGAGTCGTCTTAATTTGTCTTCAGTAAGAACTTAGATTGAAACTACCTTTTCTTTCCCCAGAGTCGACAGCCATGAGTCTATAAACAGTGTTCTCAAATTGGAGCCAAAAAATGTCTATAACTCTCAAGAAAAAAGTCCTAAATATTTGTAAAATTGTGCATTTCAAATGACCATAACAGAAACAGGAACAACAGGAAAGAATATCCCTCACACTGGAAACAAATAAATGCCTAAAAATAGAGGAATGATTAATTAGGTTATGGTACATTGGTTGAAATAATAACTTTTGCGCACAATTAGACCATGTTGCAACAGGGGGATAACTTACAGAACAATGCTAAGTGAAAAAAAAGCTGAAAACACACATGCGCTGTGTAAAGATTATGTCTACACATTCACCAGGACTTAGACGGAAATATGGTAATAGTCTGACTTTGGGGGTAGCGGGGTTGGTTCTTTTTAAGTTTATCTATTAATGTTACGATGGTGTGTTTGCAATAATAGCGATTTAAAAGATCAAGTTAAAAGTTCTTAAAGTTTAATGTAAGCCAAATAATAATAACAACAACAATAAATTACCGAGCTCAAGTGTGAGCAATACTTTACTTGTATGCTGTCTTTAATCCTTATAGTCGCGCTGCAGAGTGGGTATTTTTAGCTCAGTTTTACAGGAGAGGAACAATCAGGAGTTGTTCACACCTGGTAAGTAACAGCGCTAGGATCTGAACACAAGTTGATCAGGCCTCAATGCCCCCATGTTAGGTTTTAAAATAATGCTGCCTCTCTGCGTAGTAGCTTGCCATCTATTGATCATAAAAGAAATCACATATTATTTCTTTTTTGTGCTTTTTTGCCTTATTATCTCTACCCTTTGATGTGTTTGCAGGCGATGAATTACTTTTAAATGTTCTAGTCTCCTGTTACTGTTTTATTCTTGGGGCCAAAACAGTAAAGTCCATCCTTTTAAGCTGCTGCACCTAGAATGACAGTTGATCTTATATCATAAGCTCCCAAACCTTATGCAAGTGGGTTTTGTTTTGTTTTTTTTGGGGGGGGGGGGGGGGGGGGTGGGCACATAATCTTATTGTATGTGGTTGAACCCACACATATCTCCAGCAAATAGATCGCCAGTTGGGAATAGGGCCCTACCAAGCCTCAAATAATGAGACCAGTCCAGAGAGGACCGACATCTATTTATGTCCCTGGCAATCATTTTGGAGGCAGAATCACAGCACAATGGAATCACATGGTCTATGGACTCCTCAGGACTTTGCTATGATGGAAAAAGAAAACCTACAGAGCTGATGATGTTTGCAGAGAGAACGCCAGAGCCCTAAGAGCAGCCTTCCTACTGCTGAAAAGCTTAAAAAAAAAAAAAGCCAGCTCTCTCTTTTAAATAATGCCGGTAGACTGTACCTGGTCCAGAAATCACTAAACAGTAACAAATGCACACAAAGACGACTAGGGTCTTTTCATTGGAAAGGAAGAAATTCCACGAACCCAATGTGCATTACTAGTAATGGAGCAGATTCATACAAGTTAAGAGGAACGACAGATGAGCAACTGAACACAGTTATTAGCAGCATTCCCAGAAGCTGCCATTTGGGCAGAGATCTGGTGCCAAGTGCGGCGCACAGGCAATTGGCTGGGGGCATTTACAGGAAGAGTTTCCTGGAAGGATCACTGAGGATTGTCATGCACATCAAGACTCAGGAAGTCTGGTCACTGGGAGGGCTGTTTGAATGATTTACAGGGCAGGGCTCCCAGCTGAGATGCTAATGCTCATCAATTATTTGTGCTGTTAATGCAAGCTCACGAAAGGCCCCAAAATCTGTAAATACGTGGGCAAGTGGTGCTGTTATAATGACAAATGAAAAGAATACTTTCACAGTATGGCTTCCATTATATGGATTACTAGGTTAAACCAAATAAAATTGCCATTTTGTAGGTCTACAATGGGTGAACATTGGTAGCTTCCTGTATTTGAACTTAATACACACTCATAGAAAAAAACTAGAAAGAACTTCACCAAAGTACTAATGGTGACTTTGCAGTATTGCCTTTACAGAGAGAGGAAAAAAGATACAGAAGGTACCTTTTTACAAATCAGGAGAATTTCAAGTCTCTTTCTATGTTTTTGTTAGTCTCCTAGATCATTTGTGGTGTGTTTCTTTTGTTATCAGGAAAAATGAAACAAACTTAAAAGTTGATGAACCACAGAAAATGATGTAAAGAGGGGGTAAAATAGCTACCCTGGAATTGTACAAACACGGAGCAGTTCTTATGCCAGAGGGTGAAGTTCACCCTGCCTGTCCA